TTAATTGAAATGTATCCAATTTGTTGAGTGCGACAAAGTGGAAAATCTCTATGTAAAGTTTTTCAGTGAACTTCTACTGTCTTTAAAAAAGTCATCATATTTGCATCATAAGCTCATTTGATTCTATTGTCTACTGTGCTACAATTTAACTTGCCATAGCAAGTCTCGTTTTGTTTTGTTTACTGAATGACAATTTTACACTGAATAATGAAATCCATTTTGACATAGAAGAGGTGAAGTGCTGCTAGTAAAGCCAGTCTAGCATTTATCAGAAACATTAATACATTTTTATTACTAGTACCAAAACACTGTGAAGATTATTATTTTGTTATAGTACAGACTGTATTGTATTACATTTTTCAATGTTTATTACACAGGATTACAATTTATTTCCTCTATTTAGCTTTTTTTTAATCATTTGCACACAATCAGAGGATTCTGAAAGATGCAGTAGTTCCATTCAACTGTAGATTTGCTCTGTATCTGACAAATTCTCTCCTTATAATTAAGTTGTCATAGCAATGCATTTTTAATAGTACTGATTAATATGCCAGTAATGTTCTGGAGACAGAGCTCTTTATAGATTTTAGCATTCAGTTATGCTAAACTATAACTTTAGCAAATACACAAGTGCTGGTCTACTTGCACTAGCAGAGAACATGTGACCAGTTAAATTAGGCCAAAGCATAATCTGACACACACAACAGAAAGTTACGTAAAACTTTCTGTGGCTCAGCTCAAGAAAGTAAAGGCAAATCCTACACCTGTTCTGTTTTAAATTTAAATGTTTAATGATTAAAAAACCCTAAACGATTACACCTTATTAGGGAGAAAGAAAAGTTTGTTTTGTTTTGTTTCCAAAGGGGTTGCTTTTGTATATTGGTACTTATGTGGTACATCAGGCAGCCGTGGAGAATATGCATCGAAAATGAGAAATCACAGTACTTTGCTGACTCTGTTTTAGCATGTCTTCCTCTCTGTATTTTTAAGAGATCAATTAAATTATACATATTTATAAGGTTTCAAAACAACAGGAAATCATTCTCCAAGGACTAGGACTGTATGTCTTGGCTGCTTCCAAGGCACTGATAGCAAGTGTCAACATGCAAGAGTCTGTGAGAGTGAGACATGAATCATGAGCAAAGAAAATTGCCTGATATTTCATTCCTTTTTTAATTCAGTACGTGAAGAATAATATGCATTATTTTTTACTATCAGGAAAAATGTAAGTGAATCAAAGAGACATGAAGAAGAAAATGGTGTCAGCTTTATTTTCTGTGGCTGGGAAAGCAAAGGAGGGCAGAGGAAAGAGAGATTCTTTTCCTTACACCTCTCTAGAAAAGAGAAGTCTTAAATTTTGAAGTGTTGATTGAAAAGAGCGTTACATAGCACACATCCTCTAAATGCTCCTTCAAAGGGCTTATGAAGGGGAAAGTATATTGTGAATGCAGTAACTGACCTAACTAATATATCTTAATGAAGATGTGTATTGATTTGGTTATGAGGAATGCTTAGTCTCTAAATATATAAATGTAAAATGGAAATTGTTCGCCCTGAAGTTTCTGACCTTCCCTGGATAATGTGAGAAACACACCTGTTTAAGTCAGACTTTGGAAGCTTGCAAGCAAGGGACAGGTGTGCAAGTACTACAAATTTCACATACATTAAATTTACCTGTTTCATATATATAGCCTAAAAGTTAAAAATTAAACCAAAAAAGCTTTTTTCCAGACTGAAGCATAATGAAAATCTAACAATGGCAAAGATAAAGTTACTAAGGTAACTGTGAAATGATGGAGGCAACAAGGTACCAAATGACTAAGCAGAATTTTTGTTTTCCTCTCACTTCCTGGTTTATGTATTTTTCCTTAGGATCAAAGCTAATCCTACGCTTTAAGTATTTAGGAAAAAAAGTGGAATATGCAAGTTGAAGGTGGTATACAAACTAAGACTTCCCAGAAAATAAATATAGTAAAAAATATGAGAATAGATGCATCAATAAGTGCATATATGCAATATATGCCTCTTTACTCTTTATTTAGAATGGATTATACTTTAGCTAATAAATAAACAAACAAGATTTTCCTTAGCAGTCGTAAGCTTTCTCTTCTATGAATTTCTGGCTGTTACTGCTTTCTTCTTCAAAAACTGCATCTTTAAAATTAATAAAAATGACACATTTAATGAAGGGATCAGACTACATTTAACGTAGTCTCAGAAAGGTTGGACAATTGGGTCCTTTTTTAGGACCATCACCAGAACAGGGTAGAAGACGCTGAACATAGCTGGGGTTATTAATTTCACATCGTCACGGTTTCTTCCACCAAGGCCCAGGACCAATGAGAGGCAGAGCCGGTCGGCATTTGGCCCGTATGTACAGGCATAACCTGCAGGTAGCCTGTTGTTACACGGTTCCCAAGTAGCTGTAGTCAATCTTGTTAACTACCTGGGGAACCCAGATCAAGAACAACACAAGTCTTTTGTAGTCTAGATGATCATTTACAGTAGACAGAAAGAGAAAACTGCTCCTAATGATGCTTCTTTCAAGAGTTTTCTGATTTTTCTTAGATAAGGTTTACGGTAGATAAGGTTCTTAGATAAGGATAAGATTTTCTTAATATCACCTCTCCAAGACTACCCTTAAGAATATTCTTAGAGACTGATTCTGGTGCTCATCTGTGAACTAAGTGCTCTTTGCCTGACTACAGTCATTGGCAAGGTGCAACTAAAGGATGAGAGATCCTACAGCCGTTCCTGGATGCTGGAAAATGTGTGTGCTCGTGGAGGTATGTGGTACTTATTTAGGCCACAAAGTGCGTTAGACATGAAACGCATGTAGACATAGGAACAGTGATCAGTCCATACCCAAACCCTGAAGACTTACAGCCTTGTAACTGATAAGAGTAGCATGCTGAGGTTACGTGAAAGTTGCACAATTGTCCAGCTTTCTAGTCTGTCCTTCATGAACATGGCCTCGTTCCCTTTCTTGGATGTATTTCTATGTATAGGGAATGAACTGCTGCTACAGGATACTTCTAACTCAGTTCTTTGCTGCTAGGCAAAAGCTCTGCAACATTTTGAATTAAATATTTGAAATAATTGCTTCTCCAGTTAAAAAAAACAAAACAAAACATTGCATTATATTTCTGCTTTACTTGTGTTCATTTTCATATACTAAAATATCACTCACTAGTGGTGGAAATAGTGACTGTGGATGGACTCTGAGATTGGCTGTAAAGATCAAGCTGTGGTGGGAGGCTAGAAGACAATAATACTCTAACTAGGAATATAATGCACTTTGAAGTTATCAGTTGCTTCATAGAGAGCTGCTGAAATATCAGAAGGAAAAACAACCACACTCATTTTTCCACGAGTCCCACAGCAATGCTGATAGTATCAGGTGTGTACAGCTGTAATGCAAGTATCTTTGTCTCTGTACAACAGTAACACATGGGAGACAGATAAACAGGAGCAAACATGTAGCTGACAGCAACAAATATCTTTACAAATATGATTGCATTGTCTACACAGAGAAGGCATTTTGGAAGGTCTGAAACTGGACAAGTAAGAAGGAATCAGACATTGAGCATTCCCAGGGGATGGGTACAAAAGAGAGGAGAGAGGAATATCTGGCTATTGCCTATTCTCTCGCTACTATGTAAGCTGACAAGGTAGTATTTCAAAAATGTTTCCATACAAAAATTAGCCCGGTGTTATGAAAATGCTATTTCCAGGTTCTGAGTGGGCTTTCTGTTTTGATTGCCTTGGAGGAAGGATAAAGAGAGAATCACAAGCTACATTGTTGCCCCTCAAGTAAATACAATAGACTAGCCTCTCATAATTGCTCCCCTTCATTTCCCGTTAAAGTGAATAACAAAGCTGGATCTTTCCTCAGACAAGGGGTACTTCATCTGCAAAGGTGTGTATTTGGGAAAAACAGCTTCTCTGACTTCCTGGAGCTCTGCCTACTTCTCTCCTCATCATGACGCAGAGTAATGTCATCCAACTTCAGATCCAAAATGGTACTAGATAACCACATCTTCCCATTGCTTGGTCCTTCCTTAGGATTATTTATCAAATGCAAGATAGACAGGCAAAGTAGTGGTAAATAAATGTTATATGTAATATGTTCCCCTTTCCTAGTTTAAAGCCCAAGACAGGTAGAGAGTGAGCCTGCAGGTGACCAAGATGACAAAGTTTCCAACTCGTTTTAAGTTTGCACAGTAAGTATTAAGCAGGTCCGTTCCCAAGGTACTTAAACCAAAAAAAATTTACATCAAAGCCTGTCTTGGATCACAGTTTTGAAGCTGTAACACAAGTCGTTACTTTGAGTGTCAACTGAGATGAGACAAATGCGTGTTTGACATCACTCAGCACAGAGATTTTTATAGAAAGGGAAATATGTTTTTTTTAATGTGGAAGTTGCTACCAGAGACAGTGAGCTCTTAGTTTAAAAGGAGCAGACCAGTGGGAAATGCTTTTCCTTTGGCTTACAAAGTGGAATTATATCATTCATAAAAAGCATGAAAAGGGACCCTTTTAATACTGTACTCATTGATTGGATAATTATGACTTTGACTCAGTGATTCTTCTATACTTTGCTATCTCAATAATAACAACGTCCAGGTTGACATCATAGTTGTGTTGTTATTCAGCAAACCATCCTATTACCTGTACATTTTTAGGAAGAGGTAACAGTTAACCTCAGCTGCTTCATTCTGTAACTCCAGACTATCTCTCAGGCAAGTTTAAAAACAATAGTTCCAGATACCATAGATCTCAGTATTATATTGATATGTAACATTAATGCACAGCAAAAAACTAATGCTAAACAGTAAAATGGTGAATAGGTGTGTTCCAGCAAAAATAAAAGTGACAAAGAAGGAAAAAGACTAGATATTTTAAACAATTTGTTTGTTTAAAGGCTTTTTCCTGATTCTTTTCAGCTGCAATAAAAATTATATGAAACATTTAAAATGTGAACAGGCGAGTTTACTTACTGTTTCCTGGATGCCAGCGCACTGCATTTAAATATGCGTTACAGTAATGGAAGAGAAATTCATGCTTGGATCGGGTAACTTTTCCTTGAAGTAAGGGCATCAGATCATGTCCATCAATAATTCTGAGTAAGAAAGCATTTCAAAATCAGAATAACCCAAACTTCACTGTACTGAGAAGATATTATAACTCTGCATTTCCACTCCTTTAAAAAACAAATTGGCCTCTCATGATCTGAATGGCCACCTCTGGTTGGTCAATTCCGAGAAAAACCTTCAGGTGCTCTTCCCCTTTGATTTCTACATTATTTAAGGAAACATTAATTTTACATTTTGACACTGAGAATGTTTGCTTCCTCAACATATTTTTATCTTTTTTCTTTTTCTGAGTAAGTGACCAGACATATATGAATAAATTGCTACAGCACAGTCCTCCAGGTATACAAACACATATACTTGCTCAAGTTGTTTGGGAGTAGTCGGGCCAAAGTAACCCCAAACCAAGAAATATATGCTGTGCTGTGTTAGCATCCCTGGAAGTAACGGTAAGAACTTTGTCCAGCAAATTATGTATGCCAGAATTCAACTCACAACTAGTCATTTTGAAATTGAAAATGAACTATGTTTAAATGTGTGTTTATCAACAACACATACACACATATATATATTAAAAAATATTTAAATGCCACTGGAGAATTTTTGGTCATGATTGGAAGGAGTCAGTCAATTTACATCAAAATGGAGTTATAAAATAAGCAAGGCATTGTCGTGGTTTAGCCCCAGCCAGCAACTAAGCACCACACAGCCGCTTGCTCACTCCCCATGCCCAGCTGGGATGGGGGAGAGAATCAGAAATAAACACTCTTGGGTTGAGATAAAACAGTTGAGGAAATAATAACAATAACAATAATAATAATAATAATGATAATGTTGATGATGATGATGGAATATACAAACCCAAGTGACGCACAGTGCAGCAACTGCTCACCACCCGGTGATCGATAGCCCGTCCCCGAGCAGCGGTTCCCACCCGCCGGCCACCTCCCGCCGATGCGCTGGGCACGAGGTTACGCGGTGGGGAATGTCCCTGGGCCAGCCTGGGCCAGCTGTCCCGGCCGTGCCCCCTCCCAGCTCCCCGGGCACCTCCCCGCTGGCACAGCCTGGGGAGCCGGAAGGTCCTTGGCCGAGTACGAGCACCACAACTACTCAGCAGCAACTTAAAACTTCAGCGTGTTATCGGCATCATTCTCATACTGAATCCAGAACACAGCCCTGCACCAGGTATCAGGAAGGGAATTATCTGTATCCCAGCTGAAACCAGGACAGGCATATAAGTGTTTGCATAAATTAAGCCTTTGAATTACTGGAATCAGCTGGTGGGAGAAAATCACAATATGCATTTTTGACCTGGTATAAATTACAAATTTTACAAGAACTTTTATAGGAAATTAATTTTTGCCTACATATAGATTAGCAGATAATTATTTTTTAAGCATTTTGAGCAACAGCTCATAAAAACATTTTTGAAACTTTTAAACCCTTAAATGTCTATGTCAATTTTTATTACCATGTAAAATCCTTTTCACATTAATGTAACTATTACAAGACAGGTAGTCTCTTCATTTTTGTAAGACCTGAGCTTACATATACTATGAAATTCTTGGCAGCAATTGGATGCAACATTCTGAGTAAGACTCTTCTCAAAGGATGGGCAGGAAAACACACTGGAATTCCTGAAGCAATGTTGTCCCATCACTCTGCTTTCTGGGTGCATCCCTGTCTGTGTGAGTTTGTTGAATTAGGGACTTTCCCACTCTCAAATTGTCCTGTTTTCTTGCCTGAGTAATGCACTCTTGTCTTGCCCCTGCAGGTTTGCCCACTACCAAGCTGACAGCAGGACAGATACATGTCTACTGTACACTTTCTCTTCTACAGCCTGTTGATGGAGAAAAGGGTGTCTCCAGTAATATGTGTCCAGTACTCTTGCATTCCCACATCTGCTGGGTTCAGAGAGGGTAGATAAGCCTTTTCTTTCTGATTACTTATTTTTCTTTAATTAGGAGCATATCCTCCTTCCCTTTTTAACCTGCTCCCTCCTAGTAACTGAATCCTAACTGTAGTAATTTCTCTTATTTCTCAGGAAGTGGAGTGATAGGAATTCAGCTGCTGCATCAAAGATGCTTCAAGCCAGTCCACGGCATCCCACTCTGACCTACCATGAAGCAGTAATTATGGCACCTAGTCTACACAGAAGAATCAGAGTGGAGCAACTTGCGAGTTACATGAGTATATTGGGATTTCTATCAGAGAGATCAAATTAAAACATCAGTGCTTAGTCTTCACTCAAGCAATATGAAAACAAAGTACATAATATCGTCCCACATTAAGAACACTCTGAACTGCTTAGGTTCGACAGTTACTGCTTGTAGGGGATCTCTCAGGACCAGTCGGACCAATTTTTCATCTTACACATGTCCTGCTCTGCCACTTCCTTCAAGCACTCAATGAATCATCATTAGCAGGGTCTCTCCGCTCACCACTGGCTTTCCTCATGTGGATTCTGGATGCTTTGTGCTCAAAATCTGTTTGTGCGTGGTAGATGTGCTCAAAGCATATGCATAGCAGCAGGTTTCTCCACTTGCTGGATTTGGATGTCAACAGAGTTTAGGTGGAGGCACCTTGCTGCTGACACTGGGTATCTCCTGAACAAGACAAAGCACAAGGATGTAGGAGTGTCAATAAAGCATCTTAGAAATTTTGGAAGACCAGTGGGTTTTCTTATCAGGCTGCAAAACTCTGTAAGGGATTATTTTTACTAACTTGGTAGAGAACAAAAAATCCTGTGAGAAAAGCCTAGCTGGCACTTTGTCATACTAAGCAGGCAAAGGTTGAGCTTGTAACCTTTAAAATAATTTACACTTGCAGTTCCTTTTTCTACCACGTTCACTTATGCAGAATAGAGCCTTTTTTGACACATTCATTTTTGCTTTTAGTAAATAATTCTAGGCCGTGATTTGACAGTATGTTGCTCTGTCGTGGTATTCTCTTACTCGCATGTTGCTTGATGCTTGTTCTGCAAGTTAAGGTGTATTTACATACAGTGTTTCTGTAAAATATATCAATATGTCAATATGAAAAGAGACAACATATTGCTGTAAGTAATTTCAAAAAAGTACTTTTAAAATGTATTCTTTTTCTTTTCATTCTCGCCTTTATCTTAATAGACATCAGCAGAATGTATAAAACACTCAGGAGACTTTCTCTAAAACAGAGATAACTACAGAGCATACCTGTCAGAGGGTAACTGTGCCTTGGCAAGTTTGACTATGGTAGGAAATATATCCATATTACTTGTTGGCTCATCAATATAGGCACCAGCCTGTATCACTCCAGGCCAACGGAGAAGCCCTGGCACACGAATACCTCCTTCCCAGTTCATTGACTTTCCACCTGAAAAATGAAAGTTTTTTTTTGTTAAAAACAATCAATTTCTTCTTAGGAAAATACCCCCCTGCAAGATTCAGTTTCCAATATTTAACATTCTGTCTAGCTATCATCTTTTCATTAAATTAATTTATTCTAATTTGCTAGTTTTAGATTTTTCTCCTACAGTCAGTGCCTTTCTCACAGTAAATCTATTAATATGTATTAGGCAGAGCTTATAAAATGTATTCAGTTTATAAACAAAATTAAATAACAGCTGTATAAATTGCTATATGCCTATATGTCTGAGGTATGAACCCACAGAATATATATGATATTCTATTAAAAATGGTGCTTAATGACTTCAGATAGATGAAAGTACTAATTTAACTATTTTACTGAATTCTCCAATGCAATGCATCAAGAAGAAATACATTACAGTGATGGTAGATCTCAGGATGCTGTGAGGAGCTTTTCAACTTCTAAACCAGCACAGTTGCCTCACATACAGTATCATCTGTTTGCATTCAACATTACATTGCAGCCACTTCCTTTGTTTCTACAATATCCACCACTGCCCAGTCCTCCCAACATCACTGGAGAAGGACAATGCGCTTATTCTAGGACCTTTCTACCGTTACTTAATATATGATCGATGAAACTCTGTACGGAGAGCTATCACAAGTGCTATTATTAATGTCTTATACAGTCATGTGACTAGGTACAGGACTTCAGGTTGATCTTTGAAATTAATATATCACTTGGAAAAAAATATTTCTGGTAAACTGATGGGTTTTGGATGTGGTCAAGCATGGTCTGGGCCAGGAATTTACAGCTAAATTGAAATTGTTTCATATAACAGAAATGTCTGAAAGAAGATGAATATGTGTGTTGACCCCCTGCCACTAACTGAATCCAAGAGCAATTAATGGTTTAAATAAAAATACTATGAGCCTATTTTTCCTGTATCTCCCTTTTTCAAGTAAAACCAAAACCAAAACCAAAACAACACAAAAGAACAAAATATTACAACAAAGTACATAATAGTTCTGTCTCCTCAGCCTCTTAGACCTTCAAAGAACCACACAGATTCTAATACCTTTTTTGTCCAGACCTTACTATACATGCTGTTTATCTTACTGACTCCTGAATGATCTTTTCTATTTCAGCATTGGGACATTCACAATCTACCTGTTTTTCTATAGGTTTTTCACTGTTCATAAAGGTAAGTAGCAACTTCAAGAAAGCAAGCTATCTTTTGCTTGGATCTTTACCCATTTTATATATATATATGTGTATATATATATACAGTCTCATGGATGAAAAAAAAATTTAGCTCATGATTCTTTGTTATACCTGATTTTTGCTTACTTTTTTTCATAGGCTTTATCAGAATTCATAATATGGAATAGTCAGGGACACACGATTATCTGGTCTGGCATCAGAAAACTTAAACTTTCTAATATGCAACATTAAGTCAAGCCACAATCTTTACTTAAGTTGTACCTGGAAACCAGTGACAAGTTCAGACCTCAACAAGACAATAAATCTTTTAGAGCAGTCTTAAAAATTTACTCATCACTGTGCCAAGTGTGATTCCATTCTCACCAAAACACATGTGGCTACCTACTCTAAAACTCAGGAATGAGATGGATGGATTATTTTTGTTCCCATTCCTGTAAAAAATATGAGTAAAAAAAAAAGCTAAAGAAAATGTAGATTTAAGTTTATAAAGGTGTTATTTGGTGAGGTTTAAAGCATCTGTCACCTAGCAGAAGGAAGTGTTCACCCAACAGTATGCTGATGGGTTATTAAGATGGTTAGTTTGAGACCAGTGCAGATGTCAATAGACTGTGTGCATCTTCTGTATAAAAGGTGACTCTATCCATGTACAACGGTCATTCTGATTTTAAAAGTTTGGTGGGGATTATGTGTTGCCTAGCAGGAAGGTGTCAAGATTAATATCCTGAGTTATGGTTTACAGAAAATCCTGTTGAGTGGGAGTAGTTAAATCTGAATAAAAATCCAGGAAAAGTATAAGGACATAAAATTACAGATATCCTCAAATTAAGATATTCTTCAGTGAACAGTTATGCCAGGGAGATGGTTTAGTTGATGAGCTGGATCCAAGTTCTGTGTAAACATCACAACGTCTTGTTGGCTGGACAGACAGCTGATCTATACCATAGGTAGCTTTAAGTGTAAGGTTCCTTTTATTTCTGTATACCTGTCTGAACCTAGTAACAGTCCTATCCAGATTGGATTGTTTAAATAAATTCTTGTTTTACTGTTGCCTCCTGTGTAATCTGAAGACAGCAATTACAAGGTGAGTGGTCAATCCCATTCCCACACCTGTTGCAATCTTTAAAACCTAGATATTGGATCACGTTCACAGCTCCTAGGTTCACAGTACAATTTTCTTGAATCGCTACAGAACAGGACAGAAAACTTGCATGTTACCCAAGCATACAGGGAGCACTCAGCAAACTCTGTCTCCCTGCTGTGAGGTACAAAAAGCAAAATGGACTCCACAGCAGGGCTATCTCCTCGCTTATGTCTATAAAGAAGTGAGTGCTGTTTTCCTTTCAAAAGACTAATTGGAGCATAATTTTTTGATATCTCTGGAGGTTAGGAATAGCAGGGAACCAGGGCAGGAATTAGAGGTCATTGCGGAAGACTGTCTTCTATTATCTATGCCTACATGGTGTTCATCGTTATTAGAACTGTGTTTAGTGACATCACTGGAATTGCTTAATGCCATTATATGATTACAAATCCCTTGATAAACATTGTCATTAAAACTCCAGCTGTTAAACATTGTTCAAGTTATCTGCATTCTTTTTTCCTTAAAAGTTAAATCAAAGGTTCACTACTGATGCTTGAAACATAAAGTTAACAACCAAATGGCTAAAATATTTGAAGGCAAGTAAAAAATCCACAAAAGGTCATTATTTAAAAATAGAATCTCTTGATATTTCAGGATCTGACTCATGAGTTTTGTATTTTGCTTGGAGTTGACAACACTCCAGAGACAAAGACAGCAACCTAGCAGTCTGTATGCCTGGCAAACCCTAGGCAGCCCAAATATATTATTTTTGTTCTCTTAAATTCTTCTAAAAATGTTTTTAAAACAGCATAAAAAACCCCCGGCTGTATTTTCATGCTTAGCTATCTATGCTTTTCGAGTAGTTGTACCCTTCAGTGCTACATTGAACAATAGCCTACATTCACCTCTCCTGAAAAATCTGCAGGAGTAGGCAAAGTACAGACATAACTCTCTGCAGTCATCCACAACATGATGTCAAATTTCCATTTTAACCTCATTTCAAACCTTAGCTGAAAGAATATCTTTTCTTTTTCTCCCTCTGGTTTAAATTGACTGCTATTATCTAACTCTGGGAATAGAGCTTTTACAAAAGTTGATATATAAAGGAGAACTTTGTGGTATATCACTATTAATATTCTGAATTATGTATGATGGAAACCATTTAAAATAACATTCCTAGATCATTTGGATTATAACCAAACTGCCCTTTCCATTTTCCTCATATTCTTCTAAAAACAAAGCTTCCAAACCCAATTTATTTCTCTGAATTAGAGAAAAATACAAGGAAATTAATTACTCTGTCCATCTGTAGTGGACATTATGCTACAAAACCCACAATCCAAACTGGTTATTATTGCTTACCTTATAAAACAATCAAACAATAATCTATTTTCAATGGCAAGTGCTGCCTTGATTTTACTGATTTTTAATCTGTTTCATGTACTGCTTTTGTTAATTTTCAAGCTGAGCTGGTTTTGTACAGGTGAATCTAATATATATAACTCATTTGGACATCTTCTCATCTGATCTTTCTTCCAGTCAAATGAAATTGTCTGTCAGGATAGCTTCTGTTTCAGTCAAAATTACAATATGGTTTGATTATTTAAAAATCTGGATCACTTCAGAGAAAATACAAAAATACAGTACATTTGAAAAAAGTTCAGTTCTTGCTCTCATTAAACTCAAAAGTGAAACTCCAACTAATATCACTAAATATGCAATAGCCTAGTTTCTGAGGCCAAAATAATGGTCAGTTTGATTTCTCTGTGGCTTAAAGATATGAAAAGGGTTACTAACAGCTTCAACAAACACTACTGAATGAACTCATCACTGCAGTAGATGAAATTGTATAAAAATAATAAATTTCAATAAAATATTAGATATTCAATTCCTCCAGTCCTTGTTTAGTTCTCACAGATCTGCAGCAGATGTGATTTAAAAAATCAGTGTTTAATTCCTTAAGGAACATTCATTTCTTATTTTTCATGGATATTAACAAACAAACTATTAATGTATCTATTTCTAAGGCACAAAGCACTTAAAACGAATGTTGTTTAAATGGTTTGCCATTAACAGCATTTGACTCCATTTCCACTAGCAGCATAACCCATGAACCACTCTGGCAGCGCGACAGTAGCTGAGAGTAGCCAACAATCTACGCATTGTGCTAAACGCTGCATAAATACAAAGACAGTGTTCTTAATGTGCCAGTCCAAGTTACAATCAACACATATATAGCTACGTGTCCAAAAGAAGCTGACACTAAGAGTATTAAAAGATGCAAGGAGACTCCAAAGAAAATCCCGTATGTAACAGAGTGGGATAGAGGGAGGACTTCCACTGTCTGCATATGTACCGGTGAAATAGTATAATGAGAAAAAGTACAGAGAAAAGTTTTTCATGCCTTCACTGTTCACTGCTATAAAGTCCGTAACAGGAGAGACATATTTTATAACACACAAACTAATTCAAGAAACTAGTCACTAAGCAACTAAGCAACTAAATAACAATTACCACAAAATAATTAGATTCAGTATCTCAGAATACCAAAGAAGAATATAATGGCATCTTTTAGAGCAGTCATCTTAAGCTGCTTGTTTATGCAGTCCAAGAATGCTGTATTCATCTATTTATTCTAGTCACTTTATTCTAAAGTAGAGATTTAAACATTTCAGAAAATCTAATTTCATTTCTGTTCCTA